ATGATTATTAATTATTATTAATTATTAGTTAATAATAATAATCATTAATAATTACAAATACACTGTTAATATTTTTTTAAAAAAAAAATAATTACAAATACAGATTACAAATATGAATTACGAATGCAGATTACAAATGCGGATCATCAAATCACATGCTATATTACATTCTTTATATACATACTAAATATGATACTAAATACTAAATATGATACTAACTACTAAAACTAAAAACTAAAACTATAAAATTTGTATATTACGCTTTGTGCATGACACTTATGCAAGAATTAAAAGTCAGTTAGACAGATTAAAGAAAAATTAATTTACTGTTTACATTCTGTTTACACAGGATGTAAACAGTAAATATCGAATTATTAATTCTTGCATAGCATTATGCACAAAGCGTAATATACCTATTTTGATAAGTCCATTATCAATTTTGCATAGGAATGTAATGAATCATTAGGTATGATTAATAAGTATTAGTTAATATAATTATTTTAGTTAATACTTATTCATTACACAGATGATTTATTATATATTTATGTCAAATAAAAGAGGTGACCTAATCCTTTACAAATAAATATTTTTTATTTTTAAGACAAGTGCAAGTATTGTTCTTTTTTTATATAAAGTTATAGAAAAATTGAGGTTTTCAAAATAATATTTTTTTGGGTATTAAGATGTGATCTTGACTATACCTTTATTAGTAATTTAAAATAGTTACATATGTATACTATAGTTGAGGTTAAAATTTACAGTTAGGGTTAACTATTAAACTATTAAATATATAACTACAACTATTTGTACAAAATAAATAAATTAAAAATTACATACAAAAATAAAAGTTCAGATTAATTTATTTGTAATATAAACCTACTAGAATTGTTAAATCTTATCTAGACTTGAATATTTAGTATAATTTGATGATTTATTGTATTTGATTCATAAAATAAACTAATAATAATAATATTATTATTATTATTAAATATTAAGGTGAGTACTTGTGATCCAGGATTTTATTGATAGTACATTCAGTTAATGGTTGCATTACAACCACAGAAAACAACAATAGAAAGAATGTACAACTAGTCACTTGTACAACTTTAGTTATTGTCTAATTTAAGTAATCTACCTGAAGATTTTATACTAGCTGTCATACCTGAAACTTGCTTGTAAGTTCTCTATTTAAATATTCTAGTCTACATATCCACATGCCTACATAACTTGGTTAATATTAAACAAAAATATTGGACAACTATACTATAGCAAAATTATTATTTACCACCTTATATTGAATAAATTTGGTTATTACTTCATTAATCAAAATTGGGCTCCTTGCTAGGAAAATCATCCTTCGACATTTTTCGTTCGGGCCAATTCGAACAAACTTAAACCAACATACCGGTCCTTACTTGCATATAAATTATTGTTGCGTTTATTGATTCAAAAGTTTTTTTTCCATAAGCTATTGAATCATAATAAAGGCAAAAAAGTTTACATGTAAATAAGAATCAATATATTAGTCTAAATTTGTCTGAATTAACCCGATCGGAAATTGTCGGTGAGTGATTTTCCTCCATTTAAAGCTTATTTTGGCAATTTTAAAAAATTTTTTTATCGGACAAATTTCATAAATGGTTAATAATATTTTAAATTTTGTATATTACAGTACTAGTTAGGGATAGGAATGGCTTGAGTCGAGCCGGCCGGCCAACCAAAGCCGTTCATATCCCTAGTACTAATTAAGTTTTTACTACTCCGTTATAACTAATTATAAACTAACAATGACTCGATTAAAAGATGTTTTATAGATTGTCAAGTGACCTTTATATAGGCCTCTGCTTTCCTCGGTGATTACAAACTTTTCTGTTTGTTTTTTCCTTTAAGTTAGTAAACCCTTTAAATAAGTAATTCTTAACCAACTTCTGATCTGCGACATACATATAAAACGAAAATAATAAATGTAATTAAAGGTTTTTCTAAATATATCCAGGAATGTCCGATTGGTCGATTTATGTCGATCAAAGTTAGCTATCAAAGCTCTCTATTCTGTAAATCTGTTTTCAAACAGTTTGGAATCAAATCCGGAAAGAATTATATTTATAATATCCCCAAATTTAGTTTAACAACGTCCCCTCTATAGTTAATAAGTTGGTTAGGTGGTAGGACTAACAACTTATGCAAAAGATAATCATGGTTGAATATACTATGTAATGCTTATGGTATATATCTACGTATCGTACGTAAAATTCTAACTATAAAAATTATTTAATATAATTGTTTCTATGTTTTTGCAAGTCTTCTTTATAAATCTCTATCAAATAATAAATTTTAAATTCAAGTAATAAGATTTTATATTTTTGTGAACGTTTTCAGATTTACATTTAGTTTTTACGCGCGTATTACGTAACTACTGCACTACCTACAATATATCCACATTATATACAAATATGAAGAAAATTTCACGAATTAAAAAAATTACTATTTATAAGATAATTCTATTTCTTTTCGTGATCCTTTTAACGTTAAAAATAATGAAAAGCACTATTCTATTGCCGGCTAATGAGCTTAACTATAATGTAACTGAAATGAACCACACTGCATTAATTGATAAACTTCAAATCAAACCTACAAATCTCATAGAATGGAAACAAAGACATTACATAACAAATTATTTGAATAACAATAAGAAAGTGAAAATATATATATCCTCAGGAAATTGGTATGTCAACGAAGACTTTCAAAGACTGACATATAAATTAGATGAAACCTTAGCTTATTGTGATATACCATGCATCTGGCAGCAAAAAAGTTTATCTAGCATACCTTCAACAGAACATGAAACGGTTGATGCCTTATTTAATGTTGATTATGCATTTCTACCAGAACAGAAGGCGTGGAAAGGGCAAAAATATATAAAACTTTCTATAGAGCCTAAAACTTATGGTGGAGGTTTCGATAGAGATTATGAATCATTTGATATTCATTCATCATTTGACGAAGATTCTGATGTACCCACGAGTTACGTTCGATTTGATCCTGAAAAATTGAGAATAATACAACCTTTTAACATATCAAAGCTTTCATCAAATTCAACACTTATCTCATTAATTGCTAGCCACACGACCGATTTCAGAAGCTCTTTTATTCCATCCCTTCAAGTTCATATGCCTGTCGCATCTTTTGGTCTTGTCAATCGTAATGCCCATTGGGACCTTTACCCTGAATGTTTGAATGTAAAAGTTGATCCTAAAAATGGTGCAATTTTAGAAAAATTTGAGACTAAAAATTGTGTAATTTCTAAATTTCCTTTTTATTTATCAATTGAAAATTGTCAAGAGAAAGATTATTCTACTGAAAAACTTTGGGATACATTTAAATTAGGTGTAGTGCCTGTTATATGGGGCGCACCTAATACTCGTTCATACTTACCACATCCTAAATCGGCTATTTACATTGAGGACTTTCCAGATGTTGAAGCTCTTGCAAACCATTTAAAATATTTGACTACAAATGAGACTGCATATTTAGAATATCATCAATGGCGAACTATGAAATTCTCAGACAAGTTTGAGGAAAAGGCATATATGAGTATGCGTAATTTAGAATGTAATATGTGTAAAGAAGTTGCTAGATTAAGGATTTTAGATGAATGAAATGCACATATATAACTTAAAAAATTATCGTATGCTCCTATTATATTTAATACAACCATACGTCTATATATTGTTTTTATTCATTTAATGTTATTATCTATAATGAAAATTACTACAAATCAAAAGTTGTGTCCATCACTATATATAGTTTTAGGAGTTAGGGTGCAATTTTAAACAAAGCTTAGGGCTAGTTATTAGGGCCAAAATCTAAGTTACACGAGTTTTGGGGGGGTTCCGAGCATTTTGCTTAGTATATCTAGCCTCTGATCCTTGGTCCTGTTTTTGAGATATAGCATACTGGCGATGATCACCAATAGTGATAAATAGCAAGCTTCATTTATGAAATAAAAATGTATTGTATTTAATGTGGGCTTGGTGCTGAGAAAAGCCGAATTGGCAGAAAAAATGTTTTGCGGAAAATTGGATTTTATTTTAGAAAATAAATCTTCAAAGAATTATATTAAGAAATTTTATTAACATAACAGTTTTTTTTGCTTAGACAAAAATGTTTTTAACCATTTTGGATTAGTTAAGCTTTTTAAAAAAATAATGTCAATTTTGTCTTTTTTCTTAGCACTATCCATGTACATTCACCCTATACATTTCGATCTGGGGTCTGTATAGATAAGTGTAGCCATTTTGTTAAACAGTTTGAATATAAGTTATAAGATTGTTGTTAGGTATTTTTCAAATAGGTAGAAGTTAGTGAATGTGATAAATAAAAGAATGTAGCATATATAAAGAGATATGATGTAGAATTATTAAAAAAAGTGATTTGATGTTTAGAAAATTTTAATGAGTACTATAAATTAAATTTTACAGTGCAACCCAGTAGATTTTCTTAAATTGTTTATAAAAAAACCCTGTAAAAGTAGATTTTAAGTTTTCTTTTAGTTAATATTTTATTAAATTTTAGTTTATTTAAGATAAAATATATATTAAAATATTTATTATTATAAATTAATAAAATAGTTAGAAAGGGGCATGATGACTTAGTGAAGTAGATAAGTTGTTAACCTCCAAGTAGTAGATTGGGTGTTCAAAACTTATTGCTAGTAAAAATTTGAATAATATCTATGTAATACTTATATTATAATAGCTGTTTCTAATAATTAGATTAAGATACCTATAATGATAGTTATACTAGCATGACTGGCAGGTTAAAAAACATCTGTATAACTGATTACACAAAAGAATGCATACTAGCATTAGGTAGTACAAACTCTAAATAAGTTTTTGGCATTATATAAATCTATTGAAATTGAAAAACAAGAAGTTTATTTGAAAAAATATAAGCAAATAGTATTATAGATCTTTAACAGTACTACTGTAAAGGCTAGTTTTATAAATGAATATTGTGAGCATGATTTTTGGTATCATAGATCCTATATTAAAGTGACAATCCTAACCTGATTCAAGATCACATGAAAGTAACAAAAATATACTTACATTTTTTACATCACTTTTGCTACTTTGTCTACATATGGGATAAATAAAATATTGGCTTTTTATTAGATTTAGTTAATGTATAGCATATAAGAAATATATTACAGTTATAAAAGAAATTAATCACAAATGTAAATAAAATGTTTTTGATAAATAAAGAGCATTTTTGTCTTAGAAAAAAAGATAATATTTATATTTCTAATAATACATTTTTTAATAACAATAAAAATCTTACCTTTAATAAAAGTGAAAGTTTATCCTATACAAACTAATAAAACATCATTAAATTTTATTGTTATCCTTATTATTCACTAAATAAACTACTAAACTTATAATTAATTGCTCAAACAATTTATATGACCAGAAAGTTATTATTAAAATAAAATAGTTCCAACTCCAATTTGATAAAGTGTAATTCTAAAATAAGACATACAATAGAAGACATGAGAAGACAAAAGAAGATAAAGGTTAATAGAAGAATAGATAAAAGAAAGACACAAAGAGAAGATAAGTACTTACTTACAGATAAACACTAGTCAAATTTAATATGCCTATTTTAACTTAATCATATAGGTTATACAAAAGTTAAATTAGTTTAGCAATAAACTTAGTGATATTTAAACTATAATACTAATATAAAAAAACCAAACAGACAAAAAATTCTGAGTAGGCACATTACCAATTAGGTTGTTAGTATAATCCAAAGAAAAAAGATTTAAGATCAATTAATATACTAATAAACTGATTGTAGTTCTACTAAGCTATCTAAATTGAGAGTCTGATAATAATGCAAAGTATACTAAAGTATTTTGAATATGCTATATGATAGTATTAGAGTTTGAATGAACTCTATAAAGTCAAAATAGTTTAATAGTTAGCTCTAATTACAAGTAGTTTTATTATAGCAATATTAGATCAGCTATAAAAATAGATATAAAAAACTTTAAAAGGTTTATCTTTAAGATAAAATGGTCCTAAGTTTAAGACAATGACTTGAATATAAACCAATAATGTTAATACAAGTTTTAGATTTAGAGAATTTAAAATAAAACATCTAGGTAAAGGTATTAGATATGCTGTTAATATTAAGAGTTTTATACATTTTTAATTATAACTTTAATGCACAAAATCAAATTAAAAAAACAATCACTATTAGATTTAGCTTGCCAAAACAATTTTAAAGAACATAAAATTATGTGATTCTGATTACAAAATTATAATATCAGAATGATTTTGATAAAAGTACTAAGTATAATATATATAACTTAATTCTAATTAGCTTCTATTACTATATTAAAAATTTTACAAATCTTATATTTTTTATGAATATATTGATAAAATAAATAAAACCTTTATTAAGAAATTATTTGAAGAAATTGAATTTTTTTCTGAAAGTTGATTGTAAGATGTGTGTGTTTGAGTCACAAAGCCGTAGTCATTGTAATGATGATGAGTGCACATTACAACCTTGGCAAGACCTTCAGATGAGTAGTAAATTAATATCAATGATAACAATTCTTTTCACTAAAAGCTAATTGAATTTTCTTAATTTACCATCAATTATTTAGACGAAGAATTGATTTCTGACATTTCTTCATACTATAAAAGATATACTCCTATTGAACAACAGGAATACCATTCCAATTTAAAAGCATTACTTAACAAACTTTGTGTGGAAGAGAAAACTAATGTTAATAAAATTATTGATGCTATTGTTATTTATTGGTAGGAGTTTGTTTCTAATTATCCATTTAACAATTTTGAAGCACCTTGTATAGTATTCTTTAATAATAAGAAACAGTTAGGTCAAGGAATTGATAATGAAGAAACATCATCAGCTTATGACATTGGTTATGTATATTTCTGGAAATGAATGGGTTATGTATTAATCAGATGAAGATTTAGAGAATGATAACAATAATATACAGACAGGTTCAGAAGAGATCCTTGAACCTTTATATGAAATGCAACAAGACACTGTAGAAGATTTGAAACATATAAATGTAGATTATTTTCAGGATCAATATCATATTTCACAAGATTCATTTCTAATGAGCACGAAAGTAGTGATAGTGATAAATCTCAAGATGGAGGCACGAAAGTAGTGATAGTAATGAATCTCAAGATGGAGGCACAATACAGGATGAGCAAATGTATGTTCAACAAGGTGAAGAGTTGCCAGAATCACAAGGTACTCAAACCAATAATGAGTCTTCTACTCTATATTTTCTTTTATCATTAGCTTTAGCAAAAAATTATAATCTTTCTGCATTTTTTTTTTTTTAATAATCTTTTAGCCTATAATACTGCATTATCAACTTTTATGGCTGTTTTCATAAATTTCAGAACACCTGACAAAAAATTGACTAGCTGAATATTTGCCGATTCGATAATTTGTGATTTGGCAGTAATCATTACCGAAGTCACAAATGTATCGAATTGGCAAATATTCAGTCAGTCAATTTTTTACCAGATGTCCCAGAGTTTATAAAAACAGCTGTAAATTCAATTTTGAGATCAGTTTATGATAACAATTCAACCTTTTTACCAAGCAATAAGCATGAAGAAAATGAAAAATTCAGAATTATGATACATGAGAATGGGATCAAGAAAAAGGCTGAATGAAACTTTCTATGACAACACAAAAAAAAAAAGCACAGGAATTCACTCTTCTCTTAACAATCTTTATATAAAGAATGGATCTGAGGATTGCAACAACAATAGTAACTAGCAGAAGTGACTTCTCAAGGCAATAATAATTATGATAAGTATAATCTCGTAATAACAAATTTAAAATTTGAATCAAAAATTATCTCAACAATAAAATATTAGTGGTTCAAAAGGTGGCTATTGAAACATCACTATTCAATTAAATTGGCAGCTTTTGTCATTAGCTTTAGCCAAAGATTGGCATTTTTTTTTTGAATAATCTTTTAGCCTATAATACTGTATCATCAACTTTCACAGCTGTTTTTATAAATTCTGGAACACCTGACAAAAAATTGACTGGCTGAATATTTGCTGATTCGATAAGTTTTGATTTGGCAGTAATCATTACAGAAGTCACAAACTTATTGAATCAACAAATATTCAGCCAGTCAATTTTTTGCCAGATGCTTCAGAAATTATAAAAACAGCTGTAAATTCAATTTTGAGATCAGTTCATTGATAACAATTCAACCTTTTTACCAAGCAATAAGTGTGAAGAAAATGCAAGATTTGGAATCTGATACATGAGAATGGAATCAGAAAAAGGCTAAATGAAACTTTCCATGCCAACACCCTCCCAAAAAAGTACAGAAATTCGTTCTTCTCTTAACAATCCTTACATAAAGAACGGACCTAAGAGTTGCAACAATAATAGTAACTATGAAAATCATAGCAGAAGGCAATAATAATTATGGTAAGTGTAATCTCATAATAATGAATTTAAAATTTGGATCAAGAATTATCTTAACAATAAGTATTGGTGGTTCAAAATGTGGTTATTAAAACATCACTATTCAATTAAATCTTTTTGTTTTCTTTTGTCATTAGCTTTAGCCAAAAATTGTCACTATATCATCAACTTTTACAACTGTTTTCATAAATTTTGGGATATCTGACAAAAATTGGCTGACCAAATATTTGCTGATTCGATAAGTTTTGATTTGGCAGTGATCATTACCAAAATCACAAACTTACCGAATCACAAATATTTTGCCAGATGTTACAAAATTTATAAAAACAGTTGTAAATTCAATTTTGAAATTCTCAAAGCTATACAAATCAACACTAACCTTTCAATATTTCTAAGTTGATTACTCATTATAGAAAGTGTAAGCATCTGAGTTGCAGTATCTGTAGATTCGCAATTACGGGCATTAGAGTTGCAGTATATCTACAGGCATTGGAGTTGCAGTATATCTACAGGCATTGGAGTTGCAGTATATATAGATTTGTGATTCCTAGCCGTACCATCATGACTTAAAGATACTTTGGTATTTTTATGAAATAGTATAGTGAATTGAGGGAAATATTTAATGATTTAAATATGAGAATAATCATTATTTAATATAGATATTTAGATGTTAGAATTAGCTAATTGAAGAAAGTTTTCAACATCCAGTCTTAAAGTAGATTATATCACACCATCAATAGCATTTTGTTTGATTAATTTAATAAAATATTTTAAAAGGGTGATAACACTTTGAGGAGATATAAATATATTAGTCTTAAATGCAAAGTGTAATATTTGATATTAGACTCAGAAAGGTGTTAGGTAAAGTAGAACTGATTTTTGATGGAGTGGCATATCAGCAGTCGGTGTTAGTAATTATGAAAAAGGTGTGGATTAGGTGAAAATTTGCATAAATCTGTAAATAATATTAGAATAATTCTAATAGTATTTTTTTTTAAATGTGTTTTTAATAAAAAAACTTGATATATTGATTATTCAATTTGAAAATTTTTATTTGATTTATTAATTGTTTAAAGATCTATAAATTTCAATATATTTTAATATTCTATTTTTTAAGAAGTTGTGCTTGTGAAGTAAAAAATAAGAAATGAATTTGTCCTATATAACAACAATTATCATTAGCTTCTTTAACTTGCTTCTTTTTCCATTCTATCAAAACTTCTTCTCGAAAAATTTGTGATCTTTTAGATTTATTAGATTGTTGATTAGCCAGTAAATTATTTTGAACCAAAAGTTCTAATGGATTAATTTCTTCTTTTTCTATACTATGTTCAATAATATTAGCAAATCGATCTGAATCTTTACAAACTACATAAGTTTGTTGATTCTGATTATAAAATTTTTTTCCCCAATTTGAATTATTAAAAATTTTGGCCAATTCTTGATATGCTATATTACCATAAAAAATATATTTGTATTTGCTAATGCATTTTGAATAATAATGAATATGTTCAATAAAAATTAAATAAAATAAACTTTCAGAACAGGGTACAATAAGTGTTTGTTTTCCAATAAATTTAAAATTAAGTGATAATTTTCTGTGAATAAGTGCAACTAGTATGGCTTTAAACTCAGTTATTGTCTGAAGTAGAATTTTGTCAAGATCTTTACATCTCTTATTGTATTTGTATACAATTGTTTGATGAAGTTTTAAATCTTGAAGTGATTTAAAACCTTTTTCACAGATTAAACATATATTCATAACTAAAATTTTTAAAAAATAGTCTTTATTATATAGTTAAAAAAATTTTTATTATTTTTTAATAATTTTATTACTTACTTAAAAAAACCAATGGGTTTTTAGTTGAGGCAATGGGTTTGACATAAGTTTTATTATAGCTTTTAGATAAGACAACAAATTTGATGTGAACTTTGTTTATAATATTTAAATTTATTAACCAATCAACATATGAGTTTTTGTAATACTGATAAGTTAAAATTTGTAAATCAGTGGATATGAGCCTATTTCAATATACCTTTACTCTCATATCTACAAACTCTCTACTTATTCCTTAATTATATTCACAATTATAACTATACATTACTTAAATTTTACAAATTTAAACTCACAATATCAGTTAAGTTTGACTATAGTAAATGCTATATATACTCATTACATAAATCTGAAACATTTTCTAACTAATTCAATTTACAACTATCTGATTATGATTATTATTTATCAATAGCTATCCTTTCTAAATACTTTACATTAAACAATGAAATACAAATTACCAAACCTATTATTAAAAATAATACACCAAATTATACTTATACCCAACTGGTAGAAGCTGCTCTATCTGAACAAAATAATACTACTATAGCTATATAACACTTTGTTTTTATGCAACTTTATATCTACTACAACAAATTCCTATCTTATAATCACCTTTTATTACTCTTACATTTATAAACAATTATATTATTTTTATAACAAGTTAACAGTTTTAATTACCTAGCTAGTAATGCTTGTGCCTATATGCTAACTATTTTAATCAAAAATAATTATAGTAAAGCTTATATCTATCTTTCTTTTAAATCAAAACCTCTATCTAACTATATTATTTCACTATTATAATGCATTTAGCATTTTTTTAACATTTCATTAAAATTAAATACAACAAAATACAATCTTTCAAATCTAATTAGCTTATTTAGCATAATACTATTATTATATTCTTCACTATTAATACTACAAACACTACCAATACAATCTTTTTATTCTTCTATATTAGTACCTTTATCCTCTACTTATATGACTTTTCTTTTAATCTAAACATTACAACTTACAATATTTAAGGCTTTAACAATTTAGAAAAAAAGCTCTTAATAAAAGAATATTTTCTTCAAAATAATTTACATATAATCAGTTTAACTGAAATCAAATTTGCAAAAAAAACAAAAATAAAAAGTTTTATAACAATTATCAATTTTCTTGCTACTAGTCAAACTGTTCTATATCTAAAAAAGAAATATGTATTATAATTAAAACTAACTTACAACCACATATCTATAATATTATTAACTATTCTGGTAGAGCTATCACAATAGATCTCTTCTTTAAATATGACTATAAATTTTAAATAATCTTAACATATCTATTATTAACAAATAATTTTGTTTATCAACAAACCCAATTCTCTATTATTATATAAATATAACAAGCATTTCAGCAATAATTATACATAATTATTCTTGATGATTTCAACTTATTAATTCAAACTAATATATCTAATGCAACTAATATTAATTACTAAACTACTTATATAATATTAATATGTATAATTTGATAAATTATATAAATAATACTAATGTTACTTGGTAAAATAGTAAATATAATAGCAGAATTGACTACATATAGGTCAGTGAACTTATAATTTCATTTTTTAACAAATTCTATATTGATAACTTATTACAGATTACTAATAATGCCTACCAAATACTTATAGTACAATGGACCTTTTTATTTGCAATAAACAAACTTAAAAAAATATATAAATATAGAACTTTTAATTACAAAACAATAACTAATAAAAAATAAGAAGACTTTAAACCAAATTAACTCTAATATGCACTAATACAAAACCTTTACAGAAGTATATAATACAATGTTATTAAAAAAATTTAAGCACAAATTCTGTACATATATTATTAATACAGCCTTATAACATATTTCTAACAAAAAAACAAACAATTAAACATTTTTTTCATACCTTTAGTCTTAAAGCAACAGCCTTATACAAAGATATTAAACTTATTAAAAACATTATTTATAAAGTTAAAAACTCATTTAAATATAATTTTACTATTTTTATACAAACTATAATTAAATAGTTAAAAGATATAATAGTAAATAATAACAAGACAGAAGTTAAATATAAAGACCAAACAAAAACAATATACTTATATAAAGAAGCAAAACAAGAAGATTAAAAAAAGTATAAACAAAACTGTAAAGATAACTAAAATGAGAAAAAACAATAAAACAATTATTAAAAAATAATTTTGATACTAATTACAATGTAGATACAATAAATGATATATAGAAAACAATAAAAAGTGTTATACTTGAAATGGTAAATAAACATATTTTAAAAAAAAAAGTTTTTAATATAAAAATAAACAGAAAGCAAAGTTAGAAAAATAATAGTAGCATAAACATATTGTAGAACTGCAAAAATAATTAAAAAAATAAAAATAAAAAAAATCAAGAGACAGAAACAAAAAATAAAAAGAAACTGTAAATTCAAAGCAATAGAAAGAAAAATAAAAGTAGTATTATTAAAATTGCATAAATAATAGTTAAAAGTTTAGATAAAAAATATTAAAAGTTGGTAAAAAATACTTAATAAAAGAAAAAAAAAAATAAAAGTAGCTACAAAAAAAACAGATTTGAGAAAATACAAACAAAAAATTTGAAATGATCAAGACAAATTAAGACCAAATGATTATAAGTCTATTAAGTAAAAAATAATGCAAATATACTCAATTCCAAATAATGTTAAATTAGACTATAGTCTAAATAATATTAGACTAATTGCACTAATAGAAAAGTAATTACAAAAGTAATAATAAAAAGATTAGTCAAAGTATTTATAGAAAAAAAATACTTAAAAAACCAAATTATATAGGTCTGCCAACCAACTCAACAGAATAACTAATAGTATACATATCTTAAATATAATAATAAAAGAAATCCAAAAGAAAAACAAAAAGTATAGATACTTTATAAGATATAAAGAAAGCATTTTACTTGGTTTTATTAGAGAGTCTAGAATAGGCATTTAAAAAAGTTAAAATATTACAAAAAAACAAGAAAATATATAATAAATCTCTTATTTAAAAAATAATTAAAGTTATTACAATATATGGTTTAATGAAAAAAATAATAGCAAAAGATGAAATAAATTAAGTTAAAGTAATCTTACCTTTAATATAACAATTCTTTTATGACTTATATTCATATGCTTCTATAGATTACAGAGTTTTTGTCTTCAGCTAGAATTAAACAATTAATCTTGTCTGTAAAAGAAAAGGCACCTAGACTACTAGGCTACAGGATTTCAGTCCTCTGTAATATATACTTTTCAAATATAATTCATTATATTTAATATATTTAATAATTATATCTAAAATAGTCTTTGTATTACATTTAAAAATATTTTGAAGATGAGTCATAACAACAACAGAAGCTTAACAATTTTGATTTCAGAGTTGATAGTACATAATAAAATTTTTTATTTCATTTTATATTGACTCATCAATCATAATTTTATATACTAAAACATTGGAAAATTGACTAATTTTTGTATTTATATAATGTATTAAAATGTCTTTATGCCAAGTATGTAATTTTAACATTATTAGCTAATTTTTTGATGACTCTCTCATTAAAAATTCATAAATTAGTTGTATATACTCTACAGTTGAATTTAATGAAATTTGACCAACTTGTAAAATGCTAGTTGCTAACCAAATTATATTAAATGTATATTTACACTTGTTATCTTGAAATATAGATTTAAATTTTTTTTGAAAAGCTTGATCAGTAATCTGACAAGATTGATGAAAAAGTGAATTAATTATAGATATATGATTTAATTTTTAATTATGAAGATGCCTGATTTGAGCTCCAAATGATTGTGTTTTTCTAATTAAAACTTAATTCTGTTTATGAAATCTTTTAAAGTTGTCTTTTAATTTTGCATTAGATTCTTGTAATGATTGATATGTAGACTGATGTTTATGCAGCAATTGAGATATAAATTCATGAACCTTTTTTTGCAAATATGGTGAATAAATTTTGCCTTCATTAGACCCAACTTGATATCGTATTGTTGAAATTAGATGAATAACTGATAAAAGTTCTCCTTCAGGTAATTGTTTAATAATAAAAATTAATTTAGAATGTTTCGAATTAACTTCGCTCATCTGATTGTGTTGATAATCATCTTGCAATTAAATTTTGCTCAGATTGTTGATTATTTTCATTAGTAGTTGAAATATCTCATATAGTATTTAGAACACTTTGAAGTTGATCAGGATCCATTATTATTATAGCAAATATTGATTTATTTCGTTATCTTATCACACTGTTTATTTTTTTGCTTTTCTAATCGAATTTTGTTGCAATTCTTTAGTTGAAATTGATGCTTATATGATTTATATATACCCTGCAAAAAATATAATAAAAATAGATGCCCAGCTCTAACTTTACAATAGCTCAAAGTAATATTTTGCAAGAATTAATATTAAGTCTCTATAAAACAGTTACAAAGTTATTTTTATATTTAAATATAAAAAAACTCACAATTTAGCTTAAATTTAAAATTTTAATATGGAAAAACTGGAGTATATTGAAATAATCGATTTGGAACTAATATTTATAGTCTTATATATAAAAGGTTTCGTAATTTTGTAATTGTGATGCGCAAGAACTGATTCGTATTTAGAAAACTTTAAAAGAGAAAAAAATTCGACCTGTGCATCTAAAAGAAATTCAAGTTATTTTTATATTTAATTTATATAATATATTTTAAATCAGCGAAATCATCAAATTTTATTTAAATATTTTAATAATTAAATGTTAAGGTGACCTGATATAAATTTGATTTACTTAGTTGACGCATAACCCCAATACTTCATGTGAATTCTAATAATGACGAATATTTAGAACAATTTAAATGATTTAAGAGAGGAAGAAAAATAAAGAATAAGTCAGATGTATAGGGTGAAAACAGCCTGATGTTGTATACCACGTCTGTTAAGTGATTCTTCAGTATATTCATTTTCTTTTAATAGAATTGTAATAATTGATTAACACTGTTTGACAACCAATTATAAAGAATATTACAAAAAGGCGCATTTACTAAATTCCACCTTTTACAGTTCTTATTTGCCAGGAGCATATAACATGATTAGATGTATTTACGAATAATATAAAATTTGCAGGAAAAAGTAATATTTTATTTGGAAAAATTTTATTTACAATTGAGTCATATGAGCTTTTTATGAACATTCATTGAATGTAATTATTTAGAGGAAAGCTATTAATAACATCACAAAATACGAATTATAAAAACATATTCGTATACATTGCTAGTTAATATAATTATAAAATATTAGTGTAAGTTAACTATATTTTTGCTCACCAATAATTTAATACATAGTTGAAGGTGAAATATTTAGAGATATAATAAAGAAGTAAATATACACTCACTATCCATAAATATATATTATTTAAATTTCATTCGCAGATGAATTGTCAATAGAATCATCTTGATTAACATCGATTTTATCACGCATTACAATACGATTTGTTATTACTTTGATGGGTTCAGTTGATAGCCTTTCGAGTTGACTTAAAATAATATCTAATTCAGGACGATCTTCTGGAGCAGAGGACCAGCATCTACTGAAAAGATCAATATAACCTGAAGGAGTACCTGTAACAATTTCAGGTCTTCTGTTAGATACAAGTTCATGCATGACACCATAAACGTTTAAACCAGCATATGGATGAATTCCACTTGTGAGTTCCCAGAATAATACACCTAGACTATAGATGTCAGATTTTTTGTTGCGTTTAAATCCGCTATCACTATTCAAAAGATATTTTGGATCGGTATAAGAAACTACACATTTCATCAATGAATTCGAATTTGGGTCATTTATATCTTTTGATATGCCGAAGTCAGCGATTAAAGCATTCCCATCATTTATAAGAATATTCATAGAATGCTGTATAATTATATAATAGGTAAATTTAAAATTATAAACATATTTATTATAATTTTATAGGTTAGAAATTATAACTTACTAGATCACGATGAATGATATCTTTATCATGTAAATATTTCAATCCATTAGATATTCCTTTTGCAAGACGGATTAATTCATCCCATGAAATTTGGTAAAGACCTTCGTTACGTTTGCTTTTTAAATGATCACGTAATGTACTGTCGGCGATTTGTAATATTAATGAGAATTGTTTTGATTCTGGGTCTAGCAATTCATTGCATTTACATGGTTGAGAAGATAATATTCAATCATTTAAAATTAAAAAAAAATAACCAAATTAAACTTTTATCGTACTAATTGAAACACCGTAAAGTTTAATAATATTAGGATGGTTAGAATTATAAAGACTTGTAAGCTATAAATAAATAAACAAACATTGTAAATATATAGTTATTTATAAAAGTTATTGAGTATATTAAGAAACTAAAGATAAAGAATATTACCTCTCTAGTGAATAACTTGAGCGTTTCTTTATCCATACGCAAATTGTTGTGTAAGCGCTTTAATGCGTAAACATTATTTTCAAAGTTTGCAGAATATACTATCGCATAACTTCCATGTTTGATATACTTGTATTGACTAAACTGCGAATAGTCAAATTTTCTTACATTGTTGTTATATAAAAAATCTAACAATTTACTTGAATACTTTTCAACTAAAGATTTGTAGAATTAATAGATGCATTAATAGATATTAATGAATGTAATGAATAAATTATTAATGAATGTAATGAATAAATTACGAATTCAAATTTACACAGTATTTAAATAATTATTTATTTTAACTCACGTATATCTTCATCCATCATATTATTGAGAAGATAACAGCGAGTCATCCCAAAGTTGATTAAATTATAAAGTTAAGCAACAATGTAAAACGTAAGAAATGCTAATGATAATATAATAAATTGATACGGAGCTTTTTTCCGGCACTCCGATATTGTACGACATAAATACGATACAAAAATATATATCGATATATATCTTTTACTTTTTTAGGAAATTTCTATTTGAAAAGCGGGTTGAAATTACCCAGCAAATTACTACTACGTATTACCAATACTAATAGTTTTAACCATGTGAACTTCATTGTGGCTTTAACCCAAGAGAAGGTAGAAATCTTTTTTACTATTCATATTAGTAACATCATATAACAAAAGGAATTCTCTCAGCATAATAGTTTTATGACGAAAGCAGTGTAGACATAAACCTTAAGTAGTTATATTATGGTATAGAGGTAAAGAAGAAACGAATGAAATTTTGTTGTACGAAATGTCCGTGTATCGAGTGTACCTCACTTCGGAGATAATAAACAAGTTTACAAACCAGAAAGAAATATAGTACAACCAATCGTGAAAAAAGAAACGAAGAATATAGAAATAACTTTAAAAACAAACAAATCTAGTGTAAGTTAGGACCAAGTTATCCTAGAAGGCCAAAAATCTTTGTTTTTTTTCTTCTATATTTTGGTTGCGCAGGATCTTCGTCTTATGACGAGGTTCTACAATTCGAGAACAAATTAAAACGTAGGATAACTTATGCTATGTGAATCCAAATATCCAAATAACTTATCGTCATGTCAAAAGTTCTAAACTTCCAACATCTAAATTTCAGTTTCCAACCCGCCACAATTCAAAAAGAGCAAATAATATATATATATATTTTTTTATATTAGGAAATGCTAATTTTGGGATAATTTAAGCAAAAATAAGGTAACATATTATAATCAATCATTATAGTTATGGGGAACATTTGGTTGGCACAAACAAACAAATGAATATATGAGGTATTGACTATTATGCACATTTGTAATTTCAATTTGTAACTTGAATTTTTAACTCGAATTTATAACTTGAATTTGTAACTTTGTGATATTTTTATTACAGTATTAGAGAATATAATGCATGTTCGTAAGCACATACTGTATATGAAAGATAATATTGTGAACACTTTATAGCATTGTTTGCCACTTTCATACTGACTAAATCAACGAATACGTTCCTTTGAATTTATTTAATTCATTAAAATTGAAACCTTTACATTTAATAAAACTTAAATATTAATTACATGTAATAGTTCTATAAAAAGATTTTGGTTAGTTTTATATGAATCATATGAAAAACGGTTGAAAAGAAACGGTTGATAAGAAAATTAAATACGTATAAAAAAAATCAATCTTTTGAAGTTGATCACAAAATGAATAAGAATAAATTCAGCACTTATTTAAAAGTAAACTTCAACGTAGCATTATGAACAGTTCATTGAGAACAACACACTATTGTCACAATGTCACAGTTCTGTATCGATACGTACTGTACGTATCTGATATGGCTCAATAATCTATTACTATTTATAGTTAAATCAACCTAAATGGTGCATGTATATTTAGCAAAAATAAACTTTATCAAGATTGTGTACAAAGTCACATTATCATAACAATAACCAATTTTGATAGTGCGTATTTTAATGATTAAAAATAAATAACCTAGTAATTATATAAAATTTTTACTAAGTATTTTTTTTCTTATATTATATCTGCACCTTTAACTCGGATCGACCCCTTAATTATAAAGTTATTATAAAATTATTACGTTATTATAAAGTTATTACAAAGTTATTACGTTATTATAAAGTTATTACGTATAAAGTTATTATAAAAACTTACAAAAATCACGTCTAAACATGTGTTTAATATTTGATATTAAGACTTTGCCAATAAATCAGTCAAATAATAGATTTTATCGGTTTGTTAAAACTTAGATTAGATGTTATCTTACTAAATTAGATCTCAAATACAGTAATGCTTTATTAAGAAGTGTAACTTAATTCGTATAATAATAATAATGCCAATAACGTCTTTATTTGTTATTGGAAACAATAAAGATATTGTTGCTCATATGAATTTCTTTAATCTTTCTCCTTCAAAACATATTTATCATTATTATATTAGAGAATAGATCTGAAATCACGACATGAACTCGATTTTCGGGTTTAGCATTAATTCTAATATTGACATACAATATTTATTATCAAATACACTTAAAAGTTGATTTCGATGAATTTACCATATATGCTTAGTTATCATTTTTTAAATTTGCTGATTGATAATTGATTATACATATTAATAATAGTGTCGGTAAATAATGTGACTGCTGCATAAAAATTTATATGCATGTGACCGAAAATTAGCCGGCATTATCGTTATACAGTACGTACAGTTTCTACGTATTACAGTATTAGAAATATGCATGATTCTGCATAATATACTGTTAGTCTGATTTTAATACCAATAAGTACGTACGTACATAATCGATTATCGTTATGGGTGAGCTAAAATCAATGGATAATATCGCTAACTATATTGAAATAATAAAGAATGTTAAATGTTTTTTATGGCATTAATAAAGATTTCTATAAATTGTGGGCATAGTAAACGTGATGTTACTAAAACCTGCTTCATATTGATTTTTGCGTAACACTAACAAGATTATTAGCCACATCAGTTCCCGCATTAGCGAGTTCATTGCCAGATAATCACTTAATATGGATAAATGCTAACTAAAAAAATAATCACGCGATACTACAATTAAAAAATCTTTTTTTATATATAAAACATTTGTAGAAAGATTCGAATATTGATATAGAAATTACTATTATTACTATATCTACGTATAACTTATGAGTTTTAAATTTTAGGAGGCTTTGAATTTATTTTGAATTTATAATTTGAATACTTACAAACGCACGCATATGTACATAACATACATACGTAACGTATGTAACGTACGTAACGTACGTATGTATTTACACACTTATACGTACTAAACCCTTATAAAGTTTATACAGTATTACGAACTTTAAATCAAAGTAACATTGTTAGGTATCGATATGCTTTATCAGCCTCAAAAAAGATAACAAATATAAATGAGATTTTTGACTTCATCTATTTTAGGATATACAAAAGTGAACAATTACTATTCATTTGCTAAGTTTTTTATGAAACAAAGTTTTTCTAATAATCATGTATACTTTATTTATACGTTGTGTAAATCTGGTAAATCTTCCAAATTAATTGTTCGCGTGTTCATCTGTAGGTATAAATTTGCTCCGGTAACTCCGAATCTCTGCATCAACATTGTTCTTTTAAATTTTATATAATATGATGACTATGTCAAATTTTTAGTGATGCTTTGAATAAATCAAGCTTATTATCTGCTTATAATTATAATTTACGATGAGTTCTATTAGCTGGGATAGAGATGGTTTGCTCGATACTAAACCTGGTGAAGAAACTTGTAACTATCAAAAAGAAAATGAAAAAATTTGATTATTATGTTTTATTACGATTTTATTCACTTTATAAATGTTATTCTTTGATTTATTAGTATTAAAACATTCAGGTTCTTTAGTAAGATTATTAGGTCAGAAAAATGTAAAAAATCTTGATTACTCTGAATTTACAAAACCAAAACCAATTGGAAAAGGAGTGACAGCAATTGTATATTCAACTACTTCTCGAAGAAAATATTATGCTTTAAAAAGTTTAAACAATAATCTTGATATGGACAAAAGAAAACTTAAACAACTTTCTCAAGAGGTATTATTCTTCTTTTCGCTTTTTTTAACTTTACAAATTTACCTATTTTTATAATTACATCTAGATAATAAATCTTAATTATGCTGACCATCCTAATGTCATTAAATTGTTTGGAATTTCAAGAGGTATTATGATATCTTGTATATCTTATTTCCTTTTCGAATTTCTTTTGTCTATATTTGTTTCACTTACCTACATTTTTTTTTTATTTGTTCTAGAACCAAAAACGAGTAATTTCATGCTAGTACTACAATATGCTAATAACGGTTCACTACGTAATTATTTACGAAGCAAATTCAGAAATGGACTATATTCAATTTCTTGTAATGAGCTCTATGGTATCTCTAAGGGAATTATAAATGGCTTGATTTATTTACATGGAAAAGGAATTGCCCACCGTAATCTAGTCAGTTTTAAATTTCCTAATCTTTAATCTTCAAAACATTTAAATCCATTTATATATTTATTAAATACTAATATATATATATATTTTTAGCATTCTAATAATATTTTAATAAACGATGGTAAAGCTTTGATTTCGGATTTTGGAATACCAAAACAATTAAATGATTCTTCAAATCCCGGTGCTGCGACTATGATAGCATACATTGACCCTCAATTCATCTGTAAAAAAAAATTTGATTGTGATCAAAAATCGGATATTTATAGCTTAGGTGTTTTGTTTTGGGAACTCACAAGTGGAATTCCTCCTTTCCATAATCTTACCATGATGGCCATATATTTGGAAATTATTTCGAAAAATAACAGAGAAAGAATTATTGAAGGAACCCCCCCAGGTTATGTTGATCTATATGTTAAATGTTGGTCTTTTGAATCTAATGAACGTCCAACACTAGAAATGATTATAATCAAGTTAAATGAGCTTGAAAAAGAATCTTCTGATATATTGATTACAAATAACACTGGTAATTTCTTTGCTTAAAAAAATAACCTCTTTTTCTTAATTCTTTGATTTTATTTTACTAAAAAAGACCTTTTAATTTATTTAAGGTGTAACTGATTCTGATCAAAATATGAATAATCATGGTGCTTCACCAACTAAACAAGAGTGTGTATAATTTCTTTTTTATTACTCTGATTCTGATTACCCAAAATTATTGTAACAACCATTTTTACTTTTTATATATCAGTTTGTAAGCATCGACTTTTATTTCCAATTTTCTCTTATTAATACCAACGTACTCATACTTAATTAATTAATTAATTTTTAGTTGGTAAATACATGTTTATTTTTTTAAATTTCTGATTTTTTTTTTTTTACTCATTTTAACAAATCATATATTGTTTAAATTATTAGGAGGTAAGTATAACCTTTGACCATCCATCCATCTTTAAAATACACGCTTAAAGATTGAATCGTAAATTCTCTGATCAAATTGCATGCGTTATAATTCATTAGCGCGTAAGTATAAAAATTCCAAAAGTGTCTAAAATCTCTTGATATTAATTGCTAACTTTTTCACGTGCAATTTATTTGATTGAATTACTAAGGGTGTAAGTATTATTTCTAATTTTTTATTTTATATAACAACCAAATTCTTAAATATATTTAGTAATTTTAATGCTTGTATGAAAATCTTATTAGAATGTAAGTATAAACCTTATTCTCTCTCAGATCAATTTTACTTTGTTTAAATAACTAAAGAATTTACAAATTTATATCCTTAGGAGGTGATTATAAAGTTTTTTTTTTAATCATTTTGGTACTAAACAATACCTTATTTTATAATCATGTAACATTATTAGATGGTGGTAAGTTTTTTTTTAACTTTGTTATTCTTGTTATTGTTATTATTGATGGTGATTATTGTTTATGATCATTATTTACGTGATTTTTTCAAAAATATCAAAATTTAATAGGTCGTAAGTATAAGATTCTTATTTTTATATTTGAAATTTTGAGATGCTTCATGATTAACAAACATTCCTATTTATTATTATTTATTATTATTATTTATTTGTAATTTATTAGTAGCAAGTAAATATAAATTTTCATTCTTCAAATGCCCATTTACTTTAAAAGTTTGAAATAATGGCGATAATTTCTCAATCCGAGATGTGCCCCATTATTTCGAATTTTTACGGTATGTATAATTAATTTTGAACTTACCTTATTATTTGCGTTAATAACAGCTAATTACAAATGTTGCAACCTACATTGCTGGTGAGCGCATATTTCATTAAAGGTCAACGTTTCCTGATGTTCACGATGCTTTAAATTACTAAATAACAGTTAAATTACAAATTTGAATGTTGATATTTTGTGTAATATTTCTTTTAGCAAAGTATGTAGGCCCTAAATTATCAAGAAATTTACACAATATATTGAATAATTACTATACCAGGATACTACTAAGTAAACTTAAGAAACGGATTCACTTCATTAATGATTTATGCAAAAGAAAAAAAAATCAAATTGCGAAAATAATTACTTTTTAATATGTTAAAATTCAATAACCATAAGTTATATTCGTAAAAAAAATTTTTTTCTCTAAATATTTTTTTTTTTATTGTTTTTTTTTAAAACATTATTAGTATTTACACTTATTCATTGTTGTAAAAAAAATCTCTACAGAATTTTTTTAAATTTTTTTTTTGTTGTTTCTAATTATTCTTTTCATTTGTTTTATTTGTTGTAAATCATTATAAATTTTTTTTTGGAACCTCTTTTACATAATATTCTTTATGATTCTTATTAAATTTTAAGAACAATATATTCAAACTTTCATAACTTATATTTTCAACAAAATTTTAGACAATATTAAATATCTTAAATCGTTTAAGATACGTATTATTGTTACGCCTCTGATAATATAATTTAATGATTAAGAATTATTGTTAGAGTAAGAATTAGATTCTGGTCAAGGTAATTGCTATTCATGTAATGTTTGCCAAACAATAGTCAACGTCCAAATTACCTAAATATTATTACATAATAAATTTCTTGTGATTATATTAATCTAATCACTTTACTAATAATAAATATAAAAATATTACAAATAATACAAGAAAATAACAATATAACAAAAAAATACCACAAATCTGGGCCTATATAATTAAATATACATTCAATAGAATTCTGTAAAAAGAAAAAATAAAAATAAAAATATATTGACAAATACCTAGAAAAAGATATTAGGTAAGTATTTCAAACTGAAGCAATGAACAAGAATAAATTAAGAACTAAAACTTAAAGGTTCAAAAAAAAATAACTTCATCGACTGTATATTTATTTATTTGTTAATTTATAAAATATATTATTTGTTAATTTATAAACCAATTAATATTATATAATGCATATAATCATGTGAATTATTCATGATTTTACTTCAATAATGACCAATTAAAAATTATTAAAACATATGCAGAAGATTGGATTTATGAAAGCCAGGCTCTATAAACAGAGAAGACTACAGTATCTTTCACAGCTGTGCATGTCGAGCTTAAAACAGTGAGTGACCTAATACTGGCTTGATAGTAAATTTGGTATAATCAATGTTAGTTACTCCGCAGGTGAGCTTAAAATATTCAGAACTGTCACTTATTCTGAACTTAATGAAATTCTATCAAATCAAATATTTATTCATGAAGCAGCAAAACTCTAGAATGTAGAGATAGTATCAGGTTCTGTTTGAAATTGTAAGGACTCATATGATAATAAGAAATGTAAATATAGAAGGGTAAATGTGAAATATACAAGCTATTGTTATAGTGATCATTCTTGTTTTAATAAAGATTAATGCATGTATGCTTATTATAGTAAAGTTTAATAAAATATAAAATATAAATTACAATACAACTAAACAATTTTATTAAAAATTTTGTTAAATTCCATATTATTATGAAATAACATTTTGAAACAGAATTTCCAAAGAGTAAGGTTAAATTTGACAGATTGTTAATAATTTATTTTTGTATTTATCTTAGTTCTAGAAATTTTGTCTTGAGATGATATTTCATAATAATGAAATATTTAAGCACATAATTGTTAATCATATATCAGTTAACAACTTATGCACTTAAGATTACAACCTATACATCTCAGATAACTAATTAACAAGCTATATGTATTATCTAAAAAATCAATATCTGATGCAAAGATACTTATTTCTTTTTATCAATTTTATATTTATTTTAACTGTTTATTTATAAAATAAAAAATATATATATATTTTATATTAATCACACTAGTTTTTATAAATTTTATTTATTTTTTATATATTTTATATATTTTTAACCATATTTTATAGACAATATATATTTTGAATATAAGCAATTTTATAATTATATATATTTTTTAAAATTTTTATATTAATTATTAAGATAAAAATATAAAAATATCTGTATCTTATGCAGGTATTTTATATTTTAGTATTATATCTCTTATCTTTACTAATATGTTATATAGTATTAATATAAACAATTAATATATTAAATATAAATAAAAAAGAAGATGAAATTATTTAATTAATTTTTTTAATATTAATAATAAAGCTATTAAATAGTTAATTGAAATTTTATATAGAATACAGTTTTGTTTTTAAAATATTATAGAAAGAATAAAAACTAAAACTAATTTATTTGTGACCTAAACTAACCAAAATAGCCAAAACTCATCTAGATTTAAGTGTTAGTAATTATGTATAGAAAATTAGTTTGATATTTTTTTTTTCTTCCTCCACTATTTTGAAGGTCCTTAGTTACCTTAGAATCTGTCACATCTCTCAAGGCCAAAGTTATTATCTAGCAGAGTTCATTGAACAGGCGAATTGGCCTTCTTTATGTCACCGAACTAGTGAGATAGCTCATGCTCCATTAAGTTCATCATATGATGTCTCAGGTCTCTGGTCCTGCAGTGTAGAACCTACATTTTCTAGGTTTGCAGTTCTCTAACTTTGCATAACCCACTAGTCAGATCGCACTTTCTAATGTTCTTATTACATGTTTAAGTTAAGTTTTACTTAATTTTTACGTTATTTGTTAACAGATTCGCCTTATCTGATTATCCTCGACTCCATAATTATGTCAATGAACTGCATTCTATACATATGAATCCTGTTCATTTCTTATATAAAAAATTTTCCTTTCAAAGATCATTCTAGTTATGGTTTTAACAAAGCCTTGTCCCTCAGTTGGATTCGAACCCACAATCTTGTGACTGTGACCTGAGAGTGCTAACCACTGTGCTATTGACCCACAGGTCAGTTTGATATTTTATCTATTAGATATACTAAAAATTTAATTTTTGAACTAATAGAATTGAATAAAAGAAAACATAATAGAAGTAAAACAGAGTTTAATAATAAGTTATATATAGAAATTTGAATTATAGATTTTGAAATATTATAGAGAATTTAAATTTTGTTTTGTAATAAATTTTTAATTAAAATAAAGCAAGAATTTTATAAATAGATACCAATCATCTAACTCTCTTTATAGATTACTAAAACCAACTTTTCTTTAATAAATAATTCAACTTTTCTTAATATTTTACTAAACTAACAGCTTTTAAATTTCTAATTAAACTTTTTTCTTATAATTTTCTATTTTAAAAACAATACAAATTTATTCATACTTAATTTTTCGATATAACAAACTTTTATATTTTAATAAAATTATCTTTATTTATACACTTTTTAAATTTCTTTAATTTATACTTAATTAAATTCTTTTACTTTCAAGTAAACTAATTATACTAAACCTTTTGCTTTTAACTATACTAATTTTATCAAATTCTAACTATTATATTATATACCAACTAATATTCTCTAAAAAAATACACTTTTTTATTTTCTATCAAATTTTACTAAGCAATCTTATTTTCTCTTATTAAACAAAAATATCCAGCTCATTGAGATGATCATTTCAATATAAATTTCATCTTTAACAGACTAAAACTCATTAAATTATCAATATTTCTCTTCAAACTCCTATCCAAATTTTTTTCTGAAATTCTATTGGTTAATTTCAGAAAATTTATGGGGGTGTCCCAGAAATTTTACTTTTTACCAAGCTTGAAAATATCCAAATTCTCAACATTTCTTCAAATTCTCTTAAA